TTTCTATTGGATAGAAAACAATGTCCTTGCTCCTTTTTGACCTGCAGCGGCGGCAAATATTGCTACACATACAAATTATAATACGATAAATAAGACAAGCGCAATTTAGTATACGTTGCGTATATATAACATTTTCGTCATGTAATTTTTGACATGTAAAAACAGTAGGTATTTACATATATGCATAGTATGTATACATGCATTTAGTGAATGTTTCGCGTGATGACTCAAAATACTTCTGTGATTTTTTTTATACAAACACGTATATTCTTATTGTAAGTATGGAGTTACTCACACAACCAACAGGCTCTTACGAAGAGTAAAAGTTAACCACTTCATGCCTTGTTATTTTCCTAGTACTCTTTGAAGAAACTTAAACAGCAAGGAAGATTAACGATAATTAAGATAAAAGGGTTTTCAAAAGGATATGGACAGGGTAAATTGAAAAAAAAAAAAAAAAAAATATGATAATTTTTCTTTAAGCAAAAGTTTCAGAATAGTAGTTTGTCACTCAAGGACATTCATATAAAGTTGTTACTATAATTATTCACAAATGTAATATCATAAGAAAATAATGAATTGTTCGCCACAAAATTGTATAGCTGCGCAAGTTAATTTATGTAAAGCTCGTGTAAATGAATCTCTTAGAATGTGAGGACAATTCATTTGACAAGCATTTTTGTTAGAGAAATTTTTAGTTCATAAATCTCACAACTTTTGAAGTAATGTTGCGGATTTTAAACACCCATGCACTGTTAGACTTTTATTAACTATTTAATTTACTTTCATTTAATTCAAAGACAGACTGTGTGCTTGCAATACTGGAGCAATCGCTAATATAAATAATACAACTTTTTAAAAAATAAATCTTTATCGCTTTCAAGTATTTCATGATATCTAAATTTTTACTCAAGTTACAGCTTGCACGGACGGACGGTACGGACAGACAGACATCCAGATTTCAACTCTACTCGTCACCCTGATCACTTCTGTATATATAACCCTATATCTGACTCTTTTAGTTTTAGGACTTACAAACAACCGTTATGTGAACAAAACTATAATACTCTCCTTACCAACTTTGTTGCTAGAGCATAAAAATGAAATAATAATTTTAAGATTTATATCACACAAAGAATCGCCCAAATATGTTTATTGAAAATAATAATAACAATCAGAACCAGCCGTCATAGATATGTAGCATAAACAAATTTTGAAACAAATTAACATTAATTTTTCTCCTTTGGTATTTTCTAGTGCAGTTTGTTTATTGAAACTTTTTGCTGAAATGGATAACGGAAACCTAAAGTGAGTCATATAAAAAATATTAAATGTTTATGCAATGTGTATTTGTCAAAAGAAAACGGCATTGAAGTAATATTGCCTTGTTTACTCCTCAGTACTTTTTCATGGGTACGCATATGTACGTATTTATGATCATAAAAGGGTAGTTCCAATTAAAAGATAACCGCCCATTGAACAATCATATGTTTATTATGCATTTATTGAGGACTGATCAATGTTCTGGAAAGGAAAAAGCATCACCAATTAAAACTGTTTGTATGCTTGCACATATGTATTGTCTGATAGTTATGGGGAAATTCCAACCTTTTTATACAGTTGCAACATGTTAGTTTTATACTGATCCTATAGTAAAATTTTTAAGCAACATGTGACATTCGTTTAAAACTAAATCAGCAAACTATAATTTTTCATTTAGATAAACCAAGTATTTTACTAGAGTTTCGATTATTTGACGAAGAGGTATTCGTTATATTTTTGGGCGGTTTCGTTAATTTGAAATATGGATTTGTAGTCTGGCGTCGACACCGCTTACGCGATAATAGCCGAGTTAACAACAGCGAGCTAGTCGCTTCTTCTTTTTGCAACGTGGCGCCCATTGGATATTCCAAGCGAAGCCAGGTCCTTCTGCACCTGGTACCTCCTACGGAGTGAAGGTCTGCCTCTGACCGTCATTCTTTTACAGAACCTTTCTCTCGAAAAATCGTAAAGTCGACTCGTCAGCTATTGCCATTATCCATGCCTCTGCACCATATAGCAGGACGGAAATAATGAGTGACTTATAAAGTTTGGTTTTTGTTTGTCGAGAGAAACTTTACTCCTCAATTGCCTATTCAATCTGCAGTAGCACCTGTTGGCAAGAGTTATCCTGCGTTTGATTTCCAGGCGGACATTGTTGGCGGTTTCTCCAGAAGCAGGTTGAAGAAGTCGCACGATAGGGAATCGCCTTGTCTGAAACCTCGTTTGGTATCCAACGACTCGGAGAGGTCCTTCCCGATCCTGACTGAGCTTTTGGTGCTGCTCAACGTCAGCTTACACAGTCGTTTTAATTTTGCGGGGATACCAAATTCAGACATCGCGGCATAAAGCCAGCTCCTTTTCGTGCTGTCAAAAGCAGCTTTGAAATCGATTTTACAAAGAAGCTGATGCATGCTCCTTATCAGTTCTTCGCTGCCGTTTTTAAATGGAAGTTCACGCAAATAAGGAAACTTCCCTAATGCATTTCTTAGCTGAAGAAAAAAGTTTTTTTTATTAAATAAGTAAAACATTTCAACAAAATGCAGGAGAAATGGAAACTCCCATACCAGATGCCTAAAGTTTGAATTTGGCTTGGATTTTTGCCAAGTTGAGATGTCGAATTCTTCCGCAAATAAAATTGACTGCCAGAAAACTTGTTTCTCATTGGAAATTCTGGTTTACATACGTTTGAGCAACCTTATTTGAAGTTATGTTTGCTTTTGAGATATGTATTTTGCACAAATACTTCAGCTGCTGCTAGGTCAATGGAGGTAAATTGTAGCAAATGCATCGAAATGAAATTTGGCAACAAAAACTTTAGTGATATTACTATCGCCGAAACCAAAACCAGGAACAACATACATCCCATTCAATAATACTAAAAATAAAATTTAAATGAAAAAGGCAAATAATAATAGCATAGACAGAAACGTATAAGACTGAAGGTAAAATGTTGTTTGATTGGTCGTATGGTTTTGAAGCTGATTGTTGGCAATTTCAATTTCTTCATACATTGTTTTATTGAGTGAGAAGTGCAATGAAATAAACTGGAAAAGCAAGTGAAAATAACGCACAAGTCAATATTAACGGAGCTTTTTGCCAACATAATATCTTCAGATTAACAGACGAGCCATGCGTGATAGAAGCTTTGGGGATTTGTGAATCAGAGTCAAAAACCAGTAGTCATACCTGCACAATGTTAAAATTTTTACTAATTTACTCTAATTATATCTTCTCAACTACATTTCATTTTATTCAAAATTTAACTAGCGAGTGATATTGTAAGTACTCGCGATAAACATAAACAAAAAGATAAAAATTTAATATGTTGGCTATATAGGTGGAATTACTATAATTACTATAATTGCAATATTAGGACCAGGGGAGGGTTTGTATTAAACAAAAATTATTTCTAAAACAATTGTAACCATTATTAAGATAATCCAAATACAGACATATTTGACGGAAATTAATATGTGCTTTTAATGGTGGCTAGGGTAAATCATGGATGAATTTACAAATAAAAGCAAACTCCTGAGATGATCTATCTAGTTTTAGTAGTCTTCACGCAGTGGAAATCAAATTATGGCATTAGGAGAGACGAAAAACTCTCTTATGTTTACTTTTTTAAATTTCTTTGGAGTGCTTACTTTCTTGGTAACTATTATCGCTTTATTTTGTACTCGACTGAAATCATTTAAACGCTTACAAAAGTATTTATTTAATAATCGATAAGTGGATGTTTAACTGTTCTTTCTAAGAAAAAACGTTTACTAAGCTCTGGCACTTGTTCTGACACCAGATTCAATTGTAAACAGAGTCACACATTGAGTGTGCATCTAAACAGATAGCAAGGATATCATTGCAGTGTAACTCATGTTATATATAAACATAATATCAAGTAATGTAGTTGCAGTGAACAAAGTGCTATCAAGTGGAAAATGCACATGCAAAAGCGCTTTTACAACCACTCCAAATCAGCCATTGCGACACCATTACTGCAAAGCAATCGAAGGGATCAGAACAAAGTTGCTTACGGAATTGAGAAAATAAAATTTTCCATTTCTAACAACAACAAGAGTTTATATGAACATATTTATATGTTGTAATGTTTTCTCCCATGATTGCAGTATAAAGCCTGCATTATCGTTGTGCATAAGAGAAAGGGAGAGAGAGTCGAGAAAATACATCAAAATAATCATTAGCATTTATTATACGCTTACCTTTCTGAAGTACATAAAGTACATTCGGTGAATTTTAAGGTGAGTAAAATTATTCAGCAAAGTAGTTCCATTAAATTTGGTATGGGGATCAAATTTCTGTTTTGTCAAAACGTTCAGAATGTTAGAAAAAGCCTTCGGTGATAATTATTTGTCATCTGCAGGTGCTTTTTAATGGTACAAATTATTCAAAGATGGTTGAGAACGCGTTGACGATGAACCATATCTAGGACGGCCATCAATATCAGGTACAGAAGGCAATGACTAATAGCATGATTTAGGTAGCCAATATCACTACAAAACATGTAGTGAAGACTGAAGATTCTTCTCATTATATAGGGTAATACTACATAAATATTTATGGAAGCGAGTTTCGATAGGTTCTATCATGGTCTCATTATAATTGGAGTATAGTAGTTGAAAGCAATTTGTCGAAATATATTATAATATGAAGATGGTTTTGAGATGATTTTCGAACAGTTTTGAGATAGCAGGTAGAGTATCAATTGGGCCTTCTTGAGGGCTACCCGTTTAAGTGCTTACCTTTTCAAACTCAGTCCAATAATGTGCAGTTTCTTACTTTTACTGTTTTCTTTACAATTTAAACATCACTAAGGTTTTATGTTTTACTGTTTTAACTACTTTTTTATTTCAGTTGAATTTACATTTACAATGCTATATATAATTTATTTACATTATAATATATAATTAATTTTGCTGACATTGGGTTATTACATAAAATTAAAGAAAAATACTTACATGTAGTTTTGTAAAATTTTGCACAATAATAAAATTAACTAAGCAAAAGCTATTAATATTACTCCAAGAATACCTAACTACACCTAGCACCAAGACTGAGCCATTCCATAGTATTTACGGTTGTGGTGTTTTCACAGTACCGCTGGTAATACAATTTGCGGACGCAATCCGACATGTTCCACTCTCAGAGCGTGTTTGACATACTGTATGTGAGCCTACTTTTAGTAGTGATCCTCTATATTTCCAACTTACGCAAAGCTGGTCAGTCTCGTTGGTATGTCGATATATGCTTATGGATTTCCTTGTGAAGGGATCTGAAAACGCCAACAAAGAACTTAAACGTCTGTCACAATATGATGTTAGATTCTCGTTATTTTTATTGCGTAAATCTCACCCATGGATACTAATAATCACCTCCATATCAGATATTTGTGTTTCCAAATTTCGCATGAGGAAAGCTATTTTGTCTTATGTTAGCTGCACACAGCATTTAACGATGAAAATTTTCCTGCGCATGTTTGACTTTCAAGAGGCTCAGATTCCCAAATAAATTTGTTCTCTTTTGAATATATAAGTATTTTCTACAAATCTTCAGCAACTAGGGCTAAACTGGAGCTCAAATCTTTATGCGTCACTTTGTCAGAACACATTCCATAACATATTGCAATATCCTTTACCCGTTTCCTCTCACTAATTTGCCACCGTCTGAAAATATAAAAATATAATAAATATTTATTGTTTATTAATATGAATTTTTCTACTTATTATATATTTGAATTCTGTTGGAATTATTTTGTTTATGTTCCTATTTTATTGATTTGCCCAGCCTAGTTTAGATGAAACAATGAAATTGCTGGCAACTTTATTTTTGTCAAATTATTGAACACATTGTTTCATAACAAAAATCTTAACGTTAAAGTAAAATTTTTTATTACCCCAACCATGCACTTATATATTATATATAGCGGGCAGTTATACATGGTTTATTATTTGCTTATTTGGGTAGTAATTTGAACAATATTCCAACATACATATATGAACATACTTATATTTATTTAATTAAAGAAATTAAACCAAAAACTTAAAAAATGTATTCTTAAACAAAATTTAACGTTCTTTTAAAATAATATTGTCATAAAAATATTGATTTGAAAGTTACGCAGACAATGTGCTGAGCATTCATACAAAAACTTTGTAAATTCTACGTTGCTCATACGACATGGTGTACTGTTTCAATTTGTACCACATTTGATGCGTAACTGCGTGAACCTTTTAAAGGATTGTCTTTATGGAAAAATCCAGTCAGACCTGTTTTTCTAGAATGCTTAATAGTGTAATTTTTCTCAAAGTTGCAGGTTTATTTGCTTTGGAGATAAATAATTTAACGCCAAAAATCTTATATTCCCACTTTAAAACATGGGAAAAGTAACATCACGCAGGCAAGGTTTAAATTGAAAATGAAGATCTTGTTTATGTTAAATAATTTTCCAAAGGTAAAAAATGAAATTTTATGGGCCTCAGGAAAACAATAAATTTGGGAAATAACAAACACCCTAATGCTGATAGATATACTATATATTATATGCAAGATTTATGGTGGGTTCTATGAATTTATATATGATATTAAACGACTGAAAAAGTGAGAATAGGAACGAAATGCTGTATAGATGCAGTTGTAGGAAATTATTAACTCAATCAAGACATATTTTGTGAAATTCTTTGCGGCTTTTGACACAAAAGTCTCTACTACTATGTATGTATGTATGCAGTACTGCAGCTTGCATTGTAGATGACGGCGGTAACTAAGGACAGTTGCTGCTATGTATTAACTGCGAAATGCCTGTGTAACATCAGGTGTGAAATATACTGATACTTAGCGCGCCGGCAAATTTCTATATGCTTATACTAAACTTCGTCGACTAATGAAGACATGAATAAAATATAAGCTACTGTATGCAACCTTTCCCAGCTGTTGCATCGTGCCAGTTGCTGCTCAACAATTGATTGCTTTTATCTGTGCTATCATCCTAGCGATTTTCGCAACTTTTTGGCTTAAACGCTTTTGTGCTTCGTTCAGGTTTTGTGCACAACTTTATATTTCACATTTCTTCTCGACAACTATTTTCGATTTATTTTCCTTGCAGGCGAACACAATTCTCAATGAGTTTCTTAAAAGTCAGTACATTAGGCGCTCAGCTGCTGCACAACTTTCCATGGGAGTCCTCATGCTTTTATTTACCTATGGCCACATTAATCCCATATAATCTAAAAAAAAAAGTTAAACTTCGATTTAATTTCATCTCAATGCATTTCTGTTGCAGCTACGGTTAGGGATAAGGGGTCAGTAGGGTAAACTTTTTTCAATTTTTTAATTTTTTGCATTTTCTGTTCCCTTATACCCTTAGAATTAATGTAGAAACCCACTTTGCTATTAGAAGGTTTCGAAGAAGCCTCGAAAATAATAATAACGTTCGATGTTCGGAGGAGCGCTCGGAGTGCTCGCCTCAAACTTTAAACGCGTTTTTCTCAAAACACATTTCTTTAAACTGATACATGATTCCGGCCGAATGACTCAACCGATTTGCTGTTTTTTTTTTCAAAAACACACAAAACGTCTAGCTATCGTCCTTACTAGAGTCATAATTTTTTATAATTTATTGACAATGTTATGACAAAATTTATGTAAAAAACCATGAGGAAAAATTTAAAAAAAAATAATTTTTCTTTTATTAAAATTTTTTAATTTAATTAAGATTTTAGTAGGGACGATAACCGTTGACGTACTTTTTAAGAATAAATTGGGTTTTGTGTTTCAAATGATCCAAACATGCGAAATCGTGTCCGCCAGTGAAAAAACGCATCTCATTCACCCAGCCATTTCTCCGTCAGATGTCATCAAAAAATTCCGAAAGAATGTGTTTATACACTCCACGATATATCTCATGATATGAAGTTCTAATGTAGAATTAAAATTTCTTTGGAAAAAAAAATGTCAAGAAAAAAAAAAAAAACAAAAAACAGGCCAGATTACCATAATGACCCTTTAGTACTGCAGTTACCTTTCTATGTTCGTATTATGAGCACCATTTGGTGCTTAAGTTGCTAAACGCTCAGCCTGCTTAACGTAATATCATCTCCGTTGCTGCAGCAATTTTCTTTGCTGCAAATGATAGTTGATACATGCAACATGCACCAGCAGACTAAGTGTGCCGCAAAAATAACAGCGTTAGATAGTAAATATTTTATCGCAAGGGTCGTTCGTCTCTTGGGTTTATGCCTGAATATTTTCTAAGAACGTATTACAAATGGCAAAGTGTTTAAGGCAGAGAGAAAGTTGCGCGTATGGTCGTTTTTGATTGGTGAGAGCTTTGTTTCTAAAAAATTTAAGTGATTTCATTTAACATTTATGCATATAAAAAAATAAAATAAAAAAGTTATCATTGGCTTTTTAAGACTTCTAAATTGGAGAGGGTGTGTCAAAAAAACAGAATTGTTTGAAAACTTTAGTGGACTGCAAAGTAAAATTTTACCAATTGTTTGCAAAGGCCATTATCAATAAAATTTGCGTAATTATTGATTTAAATCGCCGCGACTTCTGGAAACTTGGCGAAGTGTTCATGTTGCTCTTCTTGAATTACACTTTGTCTGTAGTTTCAGGTTTTTTCCAAAACATCAGAGAGATAAATTTAAAGATTACACATTTACTTTCGACAGGCATTTTATCTTGCATGTTAATGATAGCGATTCTGACCTCAGAACTTTGTTGTAGCAATTAAATTTTCTACAAATTTGTCATGAGCTTCTTTTCAATAGCTCTTGTCATTTACGAGATATATACAAAAAAATGCGAATTTCCTTTTTCCACAGGTTTAGAGCCCCATACTACCTCGCCGGTGTGAGTTATGACTTTGTTGCATTGGTCACATTTTTAGAGTAAACAATTCTAAGAAATATGTGTCTAAAGTCGAAGCGATGGCATAAAATACCTCTGTTGTGTAGGAATTTAAAGATAAAAAATCACGATTGTAGTGTATTTTCTATGGAAAATTTTTGCATGCCTTGGTCCAGTACTTAATGTTAATAATAAAAGCCAAAAATTTCAGGGAATTTTTTTATTGTACTTCCAAGGAAATTTCGCGACGGGACTGAAAAAAATTAATAGTTCAAAAAAAAACCTTATATATATACACATAATATGTATATACTCTACATAACTCATATACACGCCGAAATTCGTCATTTGTTAGAAAAACTTTGCCCTCTATTACTTGATAACTTTCATTTTTTAAATATATCTGTTAATTTAGATCTCCCAAGTTAATGTGGTAAAAACAATAAGAAACGCTAACTTTGACTGCACCAAAGCTAGAATTCTCTCTCACAATTAAAGAGTTTTACATACAAGAATTAAATTTTGATCGTTCAGTTTGTATGATAGTTATATGTTTTAGTAGTCAGAGGGAGGAGGGTTCCGACAAAGAGCAACTTCTTGCGGAGAAAAGGACATGCGGTATTTTAGAAGCGAATTAGTAAGTTACAAACTTCGTACCGAACTTGAAATGCACTGTCCAGGGTATAAACATTATGCATATGTATACAGACAACTGTTGCAATTGTATCCACTCATAGCGTGCAATGCTGCGGATCATAATTTAGTACTTTACTTTGTTGGGATCTATTATGAGGGCAGTCATATGCCTGCAATTACTGCGTCAACTAGGAAAGAATAAAGTCAGAAATAAAGAGTCAGCAATTAACAATAATTTGTATGATAAAATTCAAAATATTAACGAATATATTAATTTATTGCAACAATTTTTTTTTTAATTTTTACTAAGGTAATCTTAGTCCAAGCGAGAGTTCAACCAATGCGATAAGAGTAGCTCAAATATTACATGACCATTTTATTCTTAACCACACTTTTTCCATTGTTTTTGTAGCTGTTGCAAGTTGAACAAGAAAAAACGTTAACTTCAGTTGCACCGAAGCTAAATACCCTTCGCAGGTGCATTTCTGTTAGTAACTTTGTGTTCAGTTTGTCGTAATTCGTTCTGAACAATTTTTTTGAATATTATATTGTTACCTTAAGCAGTAATCCATGCCTAATTTCGTGAAGTTTTCCATACAGGAATTTGATTCCGATTATTCAGTTTGTATGGCACTATATGCTATAGTTAACCGATCTGAACAATTTCTTCGGAGAATACTTTGTTGCTTTAGAAAATAGCCTGTGCCAACTTTTGCGAAAATACATTGTCAAATGTGAAAGTTTTCCATAGAAAAACTTGATTCCGATCGTTCAGTTTGTATGGCAGCTATATGTTATAGTGGTCCGATATCGGCAGCGATGAGCAGTTTCTTATAGAGAAAATGACGTTTGCAAAATTTCAAAACGATATCTTAAAAACTGAGAAAATAGTTCGTATATATACAGACAGACGGACATGGCTAAATCGACTCAGCTCGACATACTGATCATTTATATATAGGTTATCCGACCCTTCCTTCTGAGTGTTACAAACTTCGTGACCAACTTAATATACCCTGTTCAGGGTATAAAAATTAGCAACATTAGCAACTTGCGCATTTCAACCAACTTATTGTCTCTGGACCGTAGCTGTTGAGTCAGCTTGAACTTTAACTACGGCAACTGCAGTTGCCCTCTGAATGGGGATTTGAAACGCTTATCGAGTGAAGCACACTTT